TTTCTCTTATGGGAGAACCTAGAACTACGACTCACTGTTTAAAAATCAGGGGTTATAGAGTCATAGAGTCATACAGCATGAAAATAGAGCCTTTGGTACATCTAGTCCATGCCAACCAGAATCCCAAACTTGAGGCTGCTTGGCTCGCCACATCCCGAGCTACAAATCTACTCCAAAACCTTATAATTCCAAACTAGTCCCATCTGCCTGCACTCGGCCTATGTCCCTCCAAACATTTCTTATTCATGTACCTATCTAAATGTCTTTTAAGTGTTGTAACCGTACCCACATCCACCACGTCCTCTAGAAGTTCATTCCACACACGGACCATTGTCTGTGTAAAAGGATTGCCCCTTATGTCTTTTTAAAATCTTTCTCCTCTCAGCTTAAAAAATATGTCTCTTAGTCTTGAAATTCCCCATCCTAGGTAAAAGATACCTACCACCATTGAAATAACTCCACAGAGGCCAGTATCCCATCACCAAGTCACCCTTTATTTACACATGCAGTGTACTCAACACTGGTCTGGCTTCCTCAGAGCCAGCTCTCATAGTGAACACAACCTCTGACACTCCTGTTTATATCTGTCATCCAGGGCTCCCTGATTGAACCAGGTTAATAGCCCCAGTCAGGGAACTCATATCCTATGAGGTCCACCTGGATGACCTTGTTACAATCATTACATCTTTCCCCATCTAAGCCTGGGGATGTAGGCCTATACTTTTTCTTGTACCCACTCCTGGGGCATTTTCGCACCAGGCCCAGTTCCGCTCACTCAGCCTCAGATATGGGCAGTGCGTATTGGACCATAGACCATCTCTTGTGCCCAGAGCATCTCAGAAGAAATTCATCCTCCACCTCATGCGGTAAAAATATCATGGCTGCAACATCCAAAGTGTCCATCTCAGACTCCATGGTTTCTTTGACACTAGATATAGGGAGAGATATAGGTTTCAACAGCCTTTCCAGCTGCCCTGTGGGGCTGAGTATGGTTTGCTCCTGCTCTGTTTGTGAGTTTGTAGCTTTCATGTGGTCTACACCCTTGTTCACGACCGCCTCAACATTGTATGTCAAGGGAACTGACCTCGCATTGACCATGCCTTTTACCTGTGCATATGGCCATTTTCGTGGTTTAAGACCAAACCTTGTCCCCTGAAGTAAACTGTCTTTCTCTCTTAGGGAAGTCTTGTGCCCGGCAATGGCATTCCTGATGCCATTCCACCCTCCCCCCAGGACAGTTTGGTATCTAGTGAAGCTGTAGGCTGTTTCTTTAAACCTGGCTTCAACGTTTGGACTGCTCTTTCTGCCAGACCATTGGACGATGGATGGTATGGAGCTGTCCTTGTATGCCAAATGCCATTCTCGGAAATACTGGAATTTCCTACTGGCAAATGATGGCCCATTGTCCGTGACCAACACTTCCGGGAGCCCGTGTATTGCAAAAGATGCTCACAGCTTTTCTATCGTTCTCCCCATGTTTGATGGATGAACCTTTTGTACATTCAACCACTTTGAGTGGGGATCCACAATGGCTAAGAACTTTGAGCCCATGAAAGAGGGGCCGGCATAGTCGACTTATAACTGAGTCCAGGGTTTACCCAGCCATTCTTATGAAGGTGGGGGAGCTGCTGGAGGTAGTTTTTGTTCTTGTTAGAACCCTGGACACTGCCCCACCAATGCAGCTATGTTGGTATCTAATCCTGGCCACCAGACATAACTTCTTACCAACACCTTCATTTTGGACACCCCTGGATGACTCTGGTGGTGTTCAGCCAGTACCTGGTGGTGACATTTACTCAGGACAATCACTCTTGCTCCCCATAGTAATATACCATCCCCTACGGTGATCTGGTCTCACTGGGTCCAGAAAGGTTTCAGTCCTGGTTGTGATGGCCTTCTGTTTCCCCCATTACCACCAGCTGTTCTGGTTTTGTTCATGTCCACGGTCGGATATTGCCAGTATTGATCGGAAGAATGTCCAAGAAGTTTAAAACCAGAACAGACTCTTCTGGTGGCATATTTGTCAGTGGGAGGCAGCTCAAGTCATCTGCATTTGCTACGTGGCCTTCCAGACGATGTTCCAACTTGTAATTGTAGGCACTTAGAATGAGAGCCCACCATTGAATTCGACCAGAAGGTATGGGCGCCATGGCCTTGTCCTCTTTGAGTAGCCCTGGCAGGGGTTAGTAGTCAGTTATTATTACAGATTTATGTCCGTAAAGGTATTGGTGGAACTTTCTCACATCAAAGATGACCATCAAACCTTCCTTCTCTAATTGGCATATTTGCACTTTGCATCAGCCGAACTCCAGGAAGCATACACTGTTGGGTTTATCCTCTCCATTAGCCATCTGTGAGCCAACACTGCCCCAGTACCGGATGGGGAGGCATCACGTCAGCACCAGATCTTGCTTGGGATCATAATGTGTCAACACCTTAGACGACAATACCTGCTTCTTCACTCCCCTAAAGGCTATGTCTTGGCTATGAGACCATTTCCAAGGTTTTCCCTTTTTAAATAACAGGTGTAAGGGTGCCAGGATGGAGGCTGGGTTATGTATGAACTTTCCGTAATAATTCACTGATCCAAGGAAAGGCCTGAGCTCTGATACAGACATGAGAATTGGGCACCTTTGATCACCCTCATTTTATCTTCGAGTGGATATAACCCAGTCCTGACTCCGTAGCACAAATAGGTGACTCAGGGTGGAGTTCTGAGGAAGCGTCACTGGACCCGAAACGTTAATTCTGATTTTTTTTTCACAGATGCTGCCAGACCTGCCTAGCTTTTCCAGCAACTTTGTTTTTGTTTCTGATTTACAGCATACGCAGTTCTTTCGCTTTTTATTTAGGTCATTCAGGGTGCCTGGAACACACATTTTTCCCTTCTAAGGGTATGCCCAGCTGGGAAAAACGTCTGAGGAAAATGTATAAGTTCTCTAAGTGCCTCTACTTTTGCATGTAAGGTAAATGGCACTGGGTGGGCTATGCAGAACCATGGAGTTGCTTCCTGGTCAACATGCAAAGTGGCCTTGTCTCCTTTGATAGTCCCTCGATCTTCCCGGAAAACCAGCAGGTATTTAATTTAGAACTTCGCTCAGGAAGCCATTTTCAATTGAAAAATGTTGAGTCAGTCAAGATGAATCTTTCTCACCCAATTTTGCTCCATCAGGCTTGGGTCCCAGCCTTTTACTACAATCAGTGGTAACTCTACAAGACTGGAGCTGAAGTTGTACCCTTAATGTGTAAAGGTTCCCTGGTATAGGCTCTTAGTCTAGCCAAACTTATGAGTTGGAGTCCAGAGTGAATTTTGTTAAAGACTGGTTCTGCAATCCCTGATACCAAGCCAGTATCAACTTCCATTAGAACCAGGTGACTATTTAGCCAGATGTTTATTTTGATTAGTTCTGATTTAGATGTTGCTAAACAATTGAACTATTCCGAGCCAGATGTAGGTGGCCTTTCCAGGGTGTGCACTCTCCTGGATACCAGCCTATTAGTTCTCTTACTCAAATCAGGCCTAGTGGGAATCTTTTGTTGTCTCGTGTCCATACACTGGTAGTAACTACAATGGCTTGCCGGCCCTGAGCCTGAAGAAAATGTTAACTGTTTGGCCAAGGGTTGCCTTTGTTTTGAGGTTTTGCTGTGGGCTGACCTAGCGTGTCTCTATTCAGAATATGTCCTCAGTGAGGCTATGCAATTGCCTTCACTCAAGTGGTGTCCCTTCAGACAGGTGAAGGTGTCCATTCCCGTGGAAATACCCTGTAACTCATAAGCTCCACTTCCCGCATTTTCTAATGACAAAGCCAGTTGTAGTGGTTTTCTAAACTACAGTTAGGCTTCAGTTAGTAGGCACTTTTGCATGGTTACTCCATTAATCCCACATACCGAATGGTCTCTCAGTGTCTCATTAAGGGTTATATCAAAGTCACATGCCTCTGCCAGTCATCTTAACCTCGTAAAAATCCCGACACGGATTCCCCTTGTTGTTGAACTGCTGAGTAAAACCAATAGCATCCCAGAATTACAGAAGGCTTGGGGTCATAATATTCCTCAACTAAATCTGTCAACTCTTGAATGGTTTTAGTGTCTGGTGCCTCAGGAAATGTTAGGGTCCTAATAACCGAAAAGGTTACGGCTCCATTGCTTTTCATCTGCCCCAATGTCATTTGCCTGGAAAAAAAAATCCATTCCTTCCACATACTGGGCCCAGTCTTCAGCAGGATCAAATAAGTCAAGCTTCTCAAATAACAGCATGATTCCAGAATGTGTGCCCCAACCCAAAGATGACTGTTGAGAGCGAATTTCTTCGGGAGCATATTCTTTTCTCTCGTCACCACTGAAATAACTCCAGAGAGGTGGTATCCCGTGACCAAGTCACCCTTTATTTACATGTGCATTGTACTTGACCCCAGCCTAGTTTCCTCAGAGTCAGCTCTCATAGTCAACAGAACCTCTGACACTCCTGTTTATATCTGTCAGCCAAGGCTCCCTGATTGGACAAGTTTAACAGCCCCAGTCAGGGAACTCACATTCTATGAGATCCACCTGGCTGACCTCTTTACAAATACTACAAGGGTCACACATTTAAAACAGAGATTAGACAAAATTTATTCTCTCAGAGGATTGTGAATCTTTGGAACTCTCTTCTTGAAAGGTCCTTGAATGTTTTTAAGGCGGAAGTGAATATATTCTTGTTAAAAAAAAGAGGGGGGTGAAAAGATGATCAGAGTAAGCAGGAATGTGGATCTGAGGTTATGATCAGATCAGCTATGACCTGATAGAATGGCATAGCAAGCTGGAGGGCTGAATGGCCTACTCCTTTTCCTGCTCCTAAATTTAAGTAAAGCACCTGTTAATACCTAAAGATTTGAGTAAGAACTCCTCCTTTGGTCTGATGACTAATGTATTCCAACTTACTTTCATTGTGGCCTTGATTCCAGGAAACACCCTGTGTAAACATTTGCGGTGAGTCAGCAAAATAATAATTTTGATAATGACGCTGTAGTGGGGTGGGTCTACACTGGTTGATTCGACTGGCTCCATTTACAGGCTTCAGTGAACTTGGTGTTTCAGTCTGCATAAGCTCCTGTCTGTCTCCTGAAGTGTCCAGATTGATCACAGACTGAGCTATGTCTGCAAAAGCGATGTCAAAAGGTAACAAAGTGAACAGCCCAGCATGTGTGCATGAGGGAGAGACTCTGATAGGCAGTTTCTGCTTCTCAGTCAATCTATCTTCTTATCTCCTGTGCATATTTCTCAACTTTATTCTCGTCTTTTCACCCTGTTTCTCAGTGAAATTTGACTGTCGATTTGACTGTGTACGTGGCAGCATGTGTGTGTGTGTCTGTATGAGTATGTTTATAATTTGACCTTGGCTGAATTTCCTGTCCCTCTTGGTGTTTAACTGTGCCACTGACAGTTTCTGTGTGCCTGAGGCCCTCTTCGTCTCTGTATGTCTGTGTGTCTCTGTCCGCACAGTCCTCCAGTCTCCCTCGTTCTGTTTGTGTGTGCCTCGGAGCTTGAGAGATCGGCCTGAATTTTAACGTGAGACCAGATGTCGTATTGCTGTGACTGAAAGTGGGACAAATCCTGCACAGGTGGAAGGTGAGACCGCGGGCCCGATCCAGTTGGCAACAGAAAATTAATAGTGTCCACCATCCCAGAGAGGCCAATGTTAGCTATAGAGGGAAAAAGACAAGGCACTGTCACATGGAGGGAACTTCAAAGAGCTTGTCTGAATTTCTTTCATTGTTCTGGATCCAGGAATGCAGGCTCTGGCATTTGGGATGCTGGGGCCTGCTCCCTGGCCCATGGGACAAACTAAAGGAATACCTGCATTGCCGTACCCAACCGCAACCCTGTCACTCCTGCGATGCTGCAGAGGCTCCACTTGGTGGCGTTCTTGCATGGAGAGGGCTCATACCCAAACCCCGTAAATGCTGTTGGGGCATTAAGGGTTAATAACTGGGCACCAAGTGTATCAGTTGCTCGCCTGTTCCTCCAATTAGTAACCAGCCAAGCTGCTGCCCTTCCCGATACTCAGGGCATCATGTAGCAACAAGAAAATATCGAGTTTGACTCCCAATGTATTCTGCCGCCATTTTACCACCTGCCAGCCAGTCTCCAGAAGGCTGTTCAAATTCAGCCTGTTGTCTTGTGCTTAGTGACAAATGCTGTTTCTTTCATTTGGAGTAATTCGCATATTCTAGAGAATATAGGAAGAGGCTATCGTCCTCGAGCCTGTTCTTTGATAGTTCTAATGCAATGAGACCCACTCTACCACTCTTCATTCATACCCCAGCTAATCTCTCCATTCAAAGTATTTCTGGTATTTTTCTCATTCCCTTTTGAACATCCCTGTTGAATCTGCTTCCATTGCCCTCCTGGGCAGTATGTTCCAGATCACAGCAACTCGCTGCTTCTATCCAGCCTCCATCAGCATTCGTTTGCCACCAAACTTTCTCGAATCTTAAATCGACATTGCCCTTTTAATCCCACAGCTTTTAATTTTACTACCAGGTTAGGCAATAGCTTATCTAAAGCCTTTTGAAAGTCAATTTATACATCAATTGTACTTTTCTCTCCCTCAATTTATCAAAGAATCTTATCAGGTTAGTCAAACACAGACCACCTTTAGCAATCACTGCATATCATGGTATAATTAGTTCCTTTTCTCAATGTTCAAACTGTTTTGTTATCCCACAGCTATGGATACTGGTGGTTTCACAAGGTGCTGGTCAAATGCTCCAGGGATGCCAGTTTCCATACTGTTTGTTGCACTATCGCTGAAGGCTTGATGCCAACTCTCATAAATGTTCTCGTGACCGATGATTGATTCCTCTCCATTTGTAGGAAGCCCTGCGCCAGGCCCTGTGCCTGCAGGAATGATTCGCCTATACAGCATGCGATTCTGTCCATTTGCTCAGCGTGCTCGCCTGGTCTTGGAAGCCAAGAAAATCAAGTGAGATGGATATTTCTCAAAGCTCTGTCTGAGTTAATGTCAGGTACCCTCTACAGTTTCAGCAGACCTAGTAATTCTGAGCCAGCCCCGAGCCATAGCCAGATCTGCCCCTCTGCATGCCACCTTTGATTGTCCTGGCAAATGGCACCCATTTGGCTCCTCAAACCTGCTCCACCTTTTAACATGACCTACGCTGATCTTCTATCTCAACCCCACTTCCCCAAATCCTCTTAACCCTTCATTTGTGGAGTGATCGAAGACCTGTTGATCTCATCCTTAAATATATTCAGCAATGCATAATCCACAACCCCTTGGGGCCTAGAATTCTGAAGATTCACAACACTCCATGTGAAGACATTATTCTCCCTCTCTCACTGTTTTTCCTGAGACTGTGATTCCCCAGCTGGGGGAAACAGCATCTCACTGTCAACACTGTCAAGCTCCTTCAAATTATTGTATGTGACAGTGGGACATTCTTCTACTTTCCAGAGAATCTGAGGTTATTAACAGGACCCTGTTTAGTGGAGCAGTCACTAGGGCAATGATTCTTTCAACTGAGTTCTGAGTAACTCGATAAGCTAACGTCTTCTTCACTCTGGGAGGTCATACTTGAACAGCATTGTGTTTTTTGAGCAAATTCAGTCACAAAAAGGAACTTAGAAGGTTCATAAATGTATGGTCCTGTTAGATGGTAAGTTACTGATTAATCCTTATACAGAGAGTTCCAAGATCTTGTGGTCTTCTGCAGTTTTGCAGATGCAACTGTATTGAGAGTTTCTGAGCTGACTGCAGGTCTTGACAATCCTGGGAGATGTCAGGGCCAGGGGTTGGAAGTTGAAAGACAAGTTCAGGACAGGAAGGAGGTGGTTTGCACCAGGAGAGAGGGAGTCGACTAGTGGGGAATTTGAAAGAGGAGAATGTTGCATCTTTTGTGGAACTGGACCAGGAGGAGGTGAGTGAGTTAAGGTACTTTCCTCTTAAAATGCACAGTCCTTTACTTACTATACACACACAAACAAAAACCCGAAATCTTCAGAGACAAAGAGGCACAAAGCGATGAACAC